CTACAATATTCCAAGTACTTTCATCCATTTAGGGTTTGATATTATTTTCTAAATTTAGTTAATTAAAATTCTGATTTCTTTTAATTATGAAGATAGTTGGACTCCTGCAGTGTTTAAATCTTGATTCTGCCACTACTTTTAGTTATATAAATGATGAAAAAAGGGGGAAAAACTCGTTGATTGATCGTGTTGTTAGATGCTCTTTAAATAATTTATCATCAAACATGTGAGAGTTTCCAAAGCACTTCAAATGTGTGATATCAACTATGTGATAAGGTTGATGATATTGCCAAAATACATCTTAGCATCAAGAGCAATATTTTACTCGTTTGACAAAAACAACGTTATTGGAATTGAGCCTCACCAGTTCCCCACTCTCTGGTCATAATTCACCCTTGATGAGCCCTAGGACTTCTCAACCATAAATTGGTGGCAGTCAAATCTTTACTTTTTCCTTCAATTATAAAGACATTCAAGATTGCCCAAGATTCTATCATCGTGCTTCACCTATACCCAAAGAAAAAAAATCCTATTGTGTTGTTCCACATTAATATCAGTGAGTAGGATCTCCAATAAAAGAATAAAGATTAAACTCGCATGGGGTTTTCCTCTCCCTTTCCATCGTACTAGTTCAAAAGGAAGAAAATGTGAAACTTTGAAGGGTGATTGTTTGCAAGTATCTTAGGCTTTTGAAGTGCTTAAATATATTGGTTTGCTAAGAGTGGGAGAATAAGCAACTACATTTTAGCCTAGGCTGCGAAAAGGGGTCTTTCATCATTAACTAATTTGATGGAAATATATGCAATAAATCAATCCTGATTAATTTCAGGCTACACTACTAGCAGCATAATTCTTCTCAATTTCCGTCCATGACTCTTTTTTCTGCTTTCCTTGAAGGTAATAATTGCCAAAGAAGTTTAAATTCAAGCAATCTGAAGTTGATCTGATCTGATTTCATTTTTGTAGCCATGGACTTGTGACGGGGTAAAAATTTGGTTGGATATTTCAGAGAGACAACTAGGTTTGGAACAAAAATCCTATTTTGTTTCTATGAGCTAATTAGCACTTTGACAATATCTTTAGTCATTTAATAGTGTCTAATCTACTTTCTGCTAAATTGATTTTTAGATGTGATTGATATCATGTACAAAAGTTTAGCCAAAACATATTCTCAGTATATTAATGTGCAACTATTTCTAATTACTGATCACATCCTCGAATGATGATCATGCTAAATTTTACTAGATGCATTAAAAACATCTACGAAGTGATTAAATTGAATTAACTAATTATTACTCAAAAGACATGTAATAAATTTAGTGAAGATCATTGAACAAAATACATGATAAACATTATGAAATCTTTCATTATGCCTAAAGGCAATAAGTGTTTCTTTCATTTAGTGTTGACATGGTTTCATATAATAGCTCATGAGTTATGAGGGTTGTTATTCAGCTATTAATCTATATTTTAATAATTTAATTAGTATTTATTTTTTTAATTTAAATCCATACCTGGAGGAGGGAATCTTCAAATTTTGTTACTTAAAAATTATTACACAAAGCCAGTGTTGATACCGGATGAATTCTCATTAATACTTGTCTGACTATCCTTTATTATCATGCATCTATGTGACGATTTAATAGATTTTTGTTAAAATTCTCTTCCATATTTTGTGAATTTGTTTCTTAAATAACAAGAGACATGCAATGTACAAGATAATTTGTTGAAAATATTTAAAGAATGTGTGTGTGTGTGTGTGTGTGTGTGTTTTAGGTGCAATAAAGGAAACTATTGCCTTGAAAGCGAAACTACGACTCAATGTATGGGATTTCAACAATGTTCAACCACAACCATGTGAATGAAATTTTTTTTAATGAAAAAATAGAAAATATTTCCTTTATATATTTCTTTCACACATAGTTTCAAGTTGGGTGTGACTACTGTCCAGTTAACCAAATGATTCAGTCAAATTATATGACCATTGGATGATAAAAAAAAAAACCATCACTATTGGATTAAAAATAGGTTTCACAAAACTAAACAACACCTTATTACAGTGAATAATTTTATAGGTTGGCAAGCGATTGTAGATTTGATTTCCTCTTCTTCCATTTTTAACTCTCTCTTTCTCAACAACAAAAAAAAAAAAAAACACATCAAGTTATGATGTGGAAAACAAGAAAATCAAATCAAAATTCCTACAACAAATGTACTTTTCTTGTTAGCTTCTCATCTCATGAGTCACGAAGGAAATTCAATTGATAAAATTTAATGGACTGCTAATTGGTTTTTAGTTTGATCATACATCTTCTTGGTTTTCTTTTTTATTATTTTTTACAACGAGTTTAGGCTCATGCGCATTTTTTCAAAGTTTGGTACTAATTCGTCAAATGGGAGTGCTTTTTATTATATAAGTGGCAGAAAAACATTTTCAGGTGATGGAATCTCGTGTCGGTTTCTATGGCCGAAATCCTTGTTATCTTGTAGCTTCTATTGATGATTCTGTTGTGGTCAATCCTCCACGCCTAAAAATTTGATGAGAATAAGGTTCTGTTCGTTTGCATGGCATTGGGGGCTTGGAATTGGAATTTGGGCTCCCAATGCCAAATTCAGTGTTCGACTGTCTAAATATGGGATGGAATTGGCATTGGTCCAATGCCAAAAGACTTCCAATGCCATGATTTCAATTCTGGGCTTCAAGTTATTATTTGAGATTCCAAGATCTCGTGGAGTTGAATAGGGACGCGGATTTTTTCCGGGTTAGATTAAAAAACAGTCGGGTTATAAACTTTGCGGATCCTCCCCACCTTTTTTGATGGCTTTTATCTTTAATCTCTCTCTCTCTCTCTCTCTCTCTCTCTCTCTCTCTCTCTCTCACCGGCTTCTCCTTACTCCGTCACAACACCGACCCTTCATCTCCGACTCTGCACTGAACTTCCACCAATTGACGATGGCGAAGCCGAAGGCGAAGGAGGCGGCGACTCTGCTTTTTCTTATTTCCCCTCTTTCTTCCTTTCGCATGGATTAGGGTTAGCTTCCCATCATTCATTGAGACTTTCTTCTGATGCTTAGATTTTCAATCAAATTGGTCTTATTTCAGTAGTAATCTATCTGAATTTTTGTGGATTTTGTTTATTGGAGTCAAATTCGAACTGGGTCTGTTTTTCAGCAGCCTTAATCAGTTTTGTTTCGTAACAACATAGTCTGCCGACTTCTCTTCTCCGATGGTACTTCTCTTCCAAATCCGCCGTGCAAAGGGACTTCAATAAGGGACTTTATTGTTTCCCAGTCCAAAAATACAGCCTTGTAGCGTTTTTACCATAGAGCAATAGCATTTTATTCTGAGGTTTGGGTCCTTTTTTCTTTACTTCCATTTCCTATTTTATCTGTTCCTTCTAATGTAATTACAACATATTTGTGTTGATTTGTTGCTTATTTGATGGGATAATCCTTCTAATGTAATCCCTTGAGGAATCATTTTTTCAACTTTCTATACTGAGACTTCTTCTTGCTTTTGTATCTGTGTTTATATTGTAATGGAAATTGAAATGAAATGTCAAAATGTAGTCTTGCGAGAAATTGTGAAAGTGAGAACTAAATCTTAAAAAGAGAAATGCTGCCCAAATAAGCTCACAGACTGTGTAGAATTAGTAACTGTGTGGTGCTTCTATTTGCTTAATGAGAGTAATTTGTGTTGTTTGTGGCAGGACTTCTGTTAGTAGCTTGTCTTAAAGCATGTTAAGTATTTCTTTAATTCTAGTTATCAAATTTTGCACGCGTAACATTTCTCTGGGGATAGAATATTTAGAACGAAGGTTTCAGTCATAATAGAGTCTGGTAGCCTTTTGGTTTTGTGTTTTACTTTTTTATGTAAACAATGTACACAATTATTATCATATGTTGTATAGATAACTTGAAGATTTTGTTCTTTGCTGCCTTATCTGTGGAAAAATAGTAATTGATCAATGTCGTTTATTTGAATGTGCAGATAATCTGGTTGAGAATCTATTGGAAGACTTTGAGTTTGAGGTATAGGTTCCGAATTTATTGTATCGTAATACGGCTCAGGAAGTTAATGGAACATGGTTCTACAATGCACATGAATGTGAACAATCTACTTCCAAAAGTATGGTTTACGGCAACATTGTTCACCTGATGATCTTGTCAGTACATTGAGAGATAATATTGAAAATCAGAAGTTGCAAACGAAAAATCAAACAGTAAAGAAGTTTCATCTTCTTTTACTAATGCCTTTTGCTCTGGCCAAGTCCTGGTCAGCACTGAATTATAAAAGAAGATGTTTCATCCGATGATGCTCTTTCAGGGAAGAGCACATCTCGGCGTATGGCATATGACGTATTGGATGATATCTGGTTAAAGTGCGTTGAAAGTTGCATTCTAAGATGCTCAGACAACTGCTTCTTGACTGTGGGAAGCTTGTTTCAATATCTGAAGCTGAAGGTAACCTTTAAGACATACTGGAAGAATATTTGTTCTATATTCGATACTACATTCCTCTTCATCTTGTGTGGTTTTAACTTCCAGATGATAGCTGCTGAATTTCTGCTATTACTCTTTTGATATTATTGAGAGTATACACTTTATGGGAGCATTTTCTATAGCTTCATGTACTTTATTTTTTGTACTCATAGCTATATTTTACTATTTAAACTTTGACTATTCTTTATTGAAGATTTTGTTTTGCATTCTGGCATGATTAATGCATTCTACAAAATGCATTTTTATCCATTTGAAGTCGTCATTCATTACTGATGTGTCTCATTTTGATCCTGCTATTAAAATTTGCCCTTAACTGCTTGGTCAAAAAAATAAGATTAAATTGTCATTGTTTTTGCACGACTAGTTCCTTTGAAATATAATGACACTTTTGTGATTTCTTCATGTGTCTGGTGTCCTAACCCCTATTAGTATTAGTACGTACGAAGTGGGAGGACACACCATCGAGCTCAAGGTAGTTGTGGTGGTGGACCACGTTCATGGAGATTTACTCTCAAAAACAACTGTATGTTTTCAGAGAAATTGAGGGTAGAAGGGGCGTGGAATGGGGTTTGGAATTAAACTTGGAAGAATGGAAGGTGCCCATGTTGAGAGAAGAAGTTGCTAAACAATCCGGCTGCTCTGATGGTCCACAGATGATCAACTTGACATCCTCCGGCAAGGTTTTGAAAGACGTCGATGGCACTGAAAAGTTATCTCAATTGGGTCTTAGAAACAATTGTAAGGTTATGGCCACTAAGATCTCCGTTGATCAAGGCAAATTGAAGCAAGAATGTCTCGCTGAAGAAGAGCGCTGTAAGCGACACTCCAGGCTCAAGTTAGCATCTTCTCCGGTCATCTTGGTTATGTTATTCCTTCCCCTAAACCTTTGTTTTGGTGATCATAAAAAGTTCATATGCGGTGCTTCTCAATTACTTCAGGGTTTTACCTTTTGGTGGATTCTTTCAATTTCGGGCATGAAAATATGTGGGGATTGTTTGGGTAATCGAAGTATTTGATCTTGTTATGATTGATAATAGATTGGATTGACGATTGACTTGATTGATAAAAGTGACTGTTCGGGAATTTGATTTCAGTAAACCTTGGACATTTTGCATGTATTAGGGTGGGTGTTGTTGGTGTTTAAATTGATGGTTCACAGTGTGAAGTAGAGTTGGTTTTGTTGTTTTATAGCCTAGGTCTGAAGGATGCATTAGTTTCTGCCGATTCTCTTGGTCTCATCTCTTGCTTGATTCCTATAACAGATCTGCCACGACTTTGCTAGCCTAAAGACATGCTGACGATTCCTTATCTATTGAAAACTTTAACCTTGAATTGGAGAACCAGAGGTGGGAGACAGTAAAGCTGGGCTCGATACAAACTAGTCAAGTGTATAGGCTAGTTTTTGCATTTTTTGACTACAATGATCAACTTACATGGTGCAAAGAAACCAACTAGTCAAGTGTCGTTACCTAATATTGGACTACTTCTCACATCATTTTGCACGCTAGGTTATTGTTTTTATTGAAATTATAGATGTATGTTAAATAATACTCTAATGACATTTTAACAAAATATAAATTATAAGAGTTGAAATACTTTCAAACTAAATGAATTTTTTTTTTAAATAAATAAATAAAATAAGCAAAAGCCAAAACCAACCCAATTACTTGACCATCCGAATAGAGAATTTAGAATCCCAATTGAATTTGCAGTCAATTCTATTATTTTGCCGAACGCAGAAATTGACATTGAATTAGAGTATCTTGAATGTCAATGTAATCCCAAAATATTCTAATACCAATACAATTTCAACGCCAAGCAACCGAACACACCCTAAGATAATTTAGCTTCATGCAAACAAATAATCCCCAAAAAAACTCTAATTGAAAATAAGAAGCTCTCTCTCTCTCTCTCTCTCTCTTCGCTCTCGGCGCACCGTTTCTACAGTGCGCCTGCCATGGCCGGCAAGAAGAAGAAAGGCAGAGCTCCACAACTAGGAAGTCCAACTGAATTAAAACCTTCTGATTCAAGCACGAAGGATGTTTTTGAGATTGGGGATGGCTCAAAGAGATCTGGAAAACTGAGGTCATCGGGGGAGAAGGATGATGAAGTGGATCGATTAGTCGCTGCAATTGAAGGCTCTGCTAGATCCACAGGCGGAGATAAGGGTAAAACGCCGGCGAATCGATTGATTGAGGAACGTAGCAGGCTCAGTGATGGATGTGATTCGGGCAAATTGAAGGATGAGGCGAATCCTAGTGTTTGGCCTCTTTTGACTTGAAGATAATTAAATTGGTTTGAGAAAATGGCGGCGTCTGAGTCAGACCAACCTGAACAGCCATCTGGGAAGCTGCCATTCTTTCAACCTAAGGTGGTTGATGGTCAAAAAATAGGGCGAATGTAGGTTGAGGATGTGTAGACAGAAGCATCATAATGGGAATCTTCGGTTGTGTGCAATGTATTGGGTGCAGATCCACCACTTTGGGTCATGGAGGCACATTTCAGGAAGATTTGGGGCAAGCTTGGCATTGATAAGGTACTTTTACTCCCTAATGGTCAGTTTGTTGTTCGATTTACAATGATTCATGCTATGGCTGAGGTGTTAGGCGTTAGGTATTATCATTATAACTCTAAACCATTGATTGTCAAGCCTTAGAATTTTGATAAAGGGGTTCATAGTGAGGAAGTTATTACGGTTCCTGTGTGGATTCAACTACATGGACTGGAACTGAAATATTGGGGAATGAATTCATTGGGGAGAATGGTAAGTGCAATTTGTATTCCTGTTAGGGCTGATGATTATATGGTTAATAAAAGTAGAGTCCAATATGCACGTGTACTGGTAGAGATGGAAGTAACTGATAATGTCCCTGAGAAGCTGGTTTTCGAAGATGAATTTGGTAATGCTAAGATCCAGAAAATTACCTATGAATGGGTTCCTGGGAAATTTAGTAATTGTCACGAATATGGCCACTTAGCAGATCAATGTCGAAGGTTAAAGGAGACTGTAATACAGAAGCAGAAAAAGGTACAACCAGTAGAGTTGTGAAGGAAGTTGAGGGTGGAAGTGATCAAGGGAATTTAGTACTTGCCAAAGATACTAAGGAAGAACCTGTAGTGAACCCTCTTGATGGGGGATCTTACAAAGGGTCTCAGCGTAATGAAAAGGAACTAGATCCCAAGGAAGGGGCAGGTGTAGGGATGAACCATGAGGTACAAAGGCAGCAGTGTTCTTCTCATTCATCAAAGGGTACTAAAGATCCAATTCTCATTAATGGAATTGGTAGCAGTTTGCCTGGGTAGATTGATAAAGGAAACAAAAGGGATAAGGATAAAAAGCGAAAGGACGCAGGTCATGATCTGCATGAGTAGGGTCATCTCCTGGAATATAAGGGGTTTGAACTTACCCCTGAAACAAAAGGAGGTTCAGAGGCTGATTAAAACTTTAAAAGTAGATATGGTTTGTTTAGTAGAGACGAAACTAAGTAAACAGAGAGGGGAAGAGTATGTGAAGCAATGTTGGAATGGATGGAAGTGGTTATATAACTATGCAAGTCAGGATAGGGGTAGGATAATGATTTGGTGGAATGATACAGTGGAATTGCAGGAGGTGATGCAGAGTGATCAGCTGATACATTGTAAGTGTGTACGTAAATCAGATAATAGCATGTTCTTTACTGGTGTTTATGCTGCTAATGAACCAGAGAATAGAGCTAAGCTGTGGTATGATTTGAGTGTACTTGCTAAAAATATACATGACCCTGGTTATTGCTTGGGGATTTTAACAACATCTTAAAGCCGGAGGAGAAGTTAGGAGGAAGGAGGGTAACATTACAAGATGTTGAAGCATTTCAGTTTTGTTTGGAGGAATGTGGCATACAGGACCTCACAATCTGGTAAGCTTTACACTTGGTACAATAATCGGGTAGGGGAAGAAAGAGTATACGCTAAGCTTGATAGAGCTCTTGTTAATGGGGAGTGGGTAGATACATTTCCCGACTCTTTGGTTTCTGTGCAAATGGAAGGAATATCAGATCATACTCCTCTAGTAGTCCAAATTGAAAACAAGATTCAAAAGAAGGCAACACCATTCAAGTTTTTTAATATGTGGAGCTTGAAAGATCAGTTTAGAGTTATAGTACAGAGGAGTTGGGATCAACCAGTGGAGGGGACAAGAATGTTTCAGATTTGTGAAAAATTGAAACGGCTCAAGTACCCTTTGAAGCAGCTGAACTCTGAAGTGTTTACAAATATAGTGGAAAGGGCTCCAAAGGATGAGATAAACCTGAAACTGTTACAGGAACAAGTCAGTGGGGATCCAAACAATGTGCAAATACCATTGCAGGAGAGAGAGAGGCTTATAAACAATATATAGAGTCTAGAAAGGCTGCTAACAGTTTCCTACATCAGAAGTCTAAGGAAAAATGGATAGCAGAAGGAGATGATAATACACGTTATTTCCACTCACTACTGAAAATTAGGAGGATGAAAAATAGAATTTGGGCAATTATGGATGAGTCTGGGAATGAATTGAAGGAACAAGTGGAGATAGAGCAGCACCTTTTGAACTATTATCAGCACCTGCTGGGGCAATCCACTCACAGGGAACAATCTGATCCAGCAGTTTTCGCAGCCGGCCAAAACTAAACTTTGAGCAGCAGTTGAATCTTATCAAAGCAGTGCCAAAGGTTGAAGTTAAAGCTGCAATTTGGGAGATGGACATCAATAAGAGCCCGGGGCCGGATGGTTATGGAGCAGGCTTCTTTAAGGCAGCTTGGAACATGGTGGGAGATGATCTTACAGCAGCAGTTTTGGAGTTCTTCAACTCTGGCCAGGTACTCAGGCAATTAAACTCTACGATAATTACTTTGATCCCTAAAATTGATGTACCTTAAAATGCAAGTCATTTTAGGCCTATATCCTGTTGTAACGTCATTTATAAATGTATCTCAAAAACCTATGTAATAGAATGAAAAATATATTGCCTGTTTTGATTGATGAGAATCAGAATGCATTTGTAAAAGATAGGTTGATAATGCATAACATTCTGATTACTCAGGAATTAATTAGATTGTATAGGCGTAAAGGGATTAGTGGGAGAGTTACTATGAAAATTGACTTGAAAAAGGCTAACGACTCAATAGAATGGGGGTTTATAGAGGAAATGCTTGTAGGATTTGGGTTTCCAGAGATGTTAAGGACTTGGATTATGGCATGTGTTTCGACACCATGTTACTCGTTGTTGATCAATGGGAATCCTACTGGTTTCTTTCCTGGGAAACATGGACTTCGACAAGGAGACCTTGTTCGTCTTAGTCATGGAATACCTAACAAGAGGGCTGAAAAGAATTGTAGATTCTAAGTTCAGGTTTCACCCTTTATGTAAGAAGCTTAGGTTGACTAATATCTGCTTCGCAGATGACCTCCCCTTATTCTGTAAAGCAGATTTAGGCACTGTCAGGATGATCATGGAAGTGCTTAAAGGTTTTTCAAGAACAACAGGACTTGTGGCGAACTCGCAAAAGTCTTCAGTTTATTATGGTGGAGTTGGACAGAAGCTTCAAGAAGACATTGCCAAGTTAACTCAGTTTCAAACTGGCACCTTCACCATGAGGTATTTGGGCGTTTCTTTGTCACCAAAGAAATGGTCACAACTGGAGTGTCAGGAGATTGTCAACAAAATGGTGGCCCGAATCAAGTGTTGGAGCACCCGTCATCTGCCTTATGCAGGAAGGTTATGTCTTGTGAATTCTGTATTGATGTCGATGCATACTTACTGGGGAACGATGTTTATTTTGCCTCAGAGTGTCACTACTATGGTTTTAATCGAGTATGCAGGATGCACTAGTTTTGTATGCTTGTTTTAATTGGAAAGGCTGTGTGATAGTAGGCCTTTTGGGCTTTTGAGGTGGCTGCACACCTCTGCAATTTTGGTAGGAGTAGTACCGGAAGTAGTACTGAACTGGCGCACTTTGGTGGCATGTCAATATATGTAATTTACATTTTTCACCAAAAAAAGAAGATAATTTAGCTTCTTATTGACTTTGATGAAGAGGAGAGAAAATGAGTTTAACAAGTTTAATTAAAATATGAGAACGAGCTTCGGATTGTCTAAATGTTGGACCTTTTTCCCAATACATTGCAGTAAAATCTCTCTAAATTAATAGTATTGGGTCTTTCAAATTTTTTTAATTTATCGAGTTATTAATTTATAGATAAATTAATAATTATTAATTTAAATAGTTTTTCAATTCTAAAAGGAAATAATCTTTTTCAAGAAAAAAAGAAAAGTCGATTATAAATATGGATTTTTAACTTTATTAATACAGTATTAGGGTTCTTTTTGTGTGGCTGCAAATTTTGAATCTCTTTCGTTATTGCGACAAAATGGATGTTGATCGTTTGTTGGATTATCCAGAAGAAAATGATGAATTTACAGAGAAAAAATCTTTTGAGGATATTGTATCTAGTTTCACTGAAAATTCAACTAAAGATGAAGATGAATATGATTCGGTCCCTTTGGAACTAATATCCAAAAAGGAAGTACTTAAGGCAACCATAACTCTTCCCGATTTTTTGTTGCAGTATGACAAAGTGATACCAGAACTTTTTTCAATGAGAAAGATCAAAGATGATATCTCTATAGATATAATTTCTTTTTTTTAAAAAAAGATTAATAGATTCATATTTTACCAGAAACTATTAGTTTTTGTTTAGGTGATTATCAATTTATGAAAATGTGGGGACCTATATTTACATAAGGGAATTCTTAGAAATTTATTATCTTATAAATTAATCGAATTTTTTTATTTTTTGTACTGGCCCCAAGTTGGGACCAGCAAAATTTATTATTTAATGGAGGTTATAAATTTATAGAGGATTAATTTAGAAATGTTTTACTGTATTAGTATATATTTAGATAATGAGAAAATAGTTCTTGAATCTCTATTCTCAAAAATTAATCTGCTTTGGCAATGTTTTTTGCTTCCAAGTGGCTTTATAATTGTGATTTCTGAGGTCAAAATTTTCATGATTGGTACATGAATAAGGGATGAAACGAAACTGTTTTACAATACAAATTTGTACATATGAATTAATAATCATAATAATTGAGCATGTGTAGTTATTTGATGAGTGAATTAATATTTCCTTGGGTCGAAATAAAAAAGAGCTTGATCGGGTTAGCAAGAAGTTAGCATTTATGTTGAGGATTTGTTAAAATACTTCTCACCTCATAATTATTAGGATACATCTAATTTTGATGGGCTAAATTTTGACTACATGGTTCAGTTAAAAATCAACAATTGGACCATAAGATTTTCCTATCAATTCTCTAATAATAGTATGTTTAAGTTTTGACCATTTTCAACTTTCTTAAAATAGAGAAATTACCTGATAGGATTTGTACGTGTCATCCTTGCGGAGGGTCAAGCTAATCTTCTCTTCATCATTCTAATTTTATCGGATGTCCCCAAAAGGGCACCTGACAGGATAAAATAAGTGGCTTAACGTAACTCTTGCGATGAATTCCGCAAGTCATTGCATCTCTTTGACACGTTCATGACTCGTGGTGACATTAGAACGATTTGAGAAACTTTAAAAGTGACAAAATTGTAACACACAAGCCATTGAGCTAGTTAATTCCAATTCATATTGCATCTAAAGAGATTGAGAAGTTCAGATTAAAAAGAAGAAGAAGAAGAAGAATAAGAAGAAATGGCAGATAAAAGAGAGAATAGAGGAGTGCAAATGGACAAGAAGGAAGAAGGAAAACTTGAAGGTTTACCAGTGGGAACCAGTCCCTACACTCAGTATAAGGACTTGGAAGATTACAAGCAACAAGGTTATGGAGCTCAGGGTCACCTTCAACCACAACTTGGGCGTGGCGCAGTTAGCTCTGTCGATGCCCCCACCGAAGTCGATACCAGAGCCACTCCGGCAGCTCAGATTTCGTCCACAAATGCCAACAATAAACAAGGCGTTCCTTAAGTAGTGCCTTTAATTAGTTTTTTTTTTCTTTTTTCTTTTAAAGAAATGTGAAACTACATATTCCTTTGCATGGCTTGTACGTTCAATATTTATGAGCTGATTTGATTCATGTGATGTGATTTTTCTTTTTCTTCTTTTTTTATAACAAAAGTCGAATTTCATTCTATTTAGATGAGACGTACAAGCCATGAATCAGTATCAAATGGTGTTGAAGCCATGCGACTAAGATTCAATGATTGATGATTATAATTCATAACAACTATCATATTAAAATGAGGTGTTTTAAAACTAAAAAATACCACAACACACCTGATTTTATTGCAACTAACAAATTATAAATCCTCTTGCATTGCCTAAGGCTAAAAAGTTGATTCATTACCGTCATAATGTTTACTCTGCCTCAAGCCCTCTTCTAGGTTTTTTCTTTTTTTTTTTTTCTAAAAAAGTTGATTCTTTTTTTTTCTCTTAAAAAAATCATTATACATTTCTCCCTCCTGAAAAGGTTTCAATGAAACAAAATTCAAACTTTTAATGTATAATGATTTTGCAAGTTCGCCACAAGTCCTGTTGTTCTTGAAAAACCTTTAAGCACTTCTATGATCATCCTGACAGTGCCTAAATCTGCTTTACAGAATAAGGGGAGGTCATCTGCGAAGCAGATATTAGTCAACCTAAGCTTCTTACATAAAGGGTGAAACCTGAACTTAGAATCTACAATTCTTTTCAGCCCTCTTGTTAGGTATTCTATGGCTAAGACGAACAACATGGGAGATACAGGGTCTCCTTGTCGAAGTCCATGTTTCCCAGGAAAGAAACCAGTAGGATTCCCATTGATCAGCAACGAGTAACATGGTGTCGAAACACATGCCATAATCTAAGTCCTTAACATCTCTGGAAACCCAAATCACAAGTTCGTATTGAATAATAATTCATCAAAGGCATATGAAAAACCAAGGCCAAGACCCCCTTTTATAGGACTTTAGGTCGGTCAATAAGAGTCCTAATCCTATTAGAACTCTAACTAGGATTTCTTAGACTAGAAGTTTCCTAAAGAATAAAATATCTCCTAATTAAATAATTACACATGTCGCAATTATTTAATATTTATTAAAACACCAAAAATTACCTATTTTATTCTATTTTGGTCGAAATATATAAAAGGAAACAAATTAAAAGCAAATTTAAATCAAAACGGGGAATCTCCAAAAAGTGGAAATTCTGCCGTCGACTTGGTTGCTAGCTGACGCAACGCTCGATGACTCCCTATTGACTTGGTTGCTGGCCGATTCAAAGCTCGACGACCCACTATCGACTTGGTTGCTGGCCGACGCAAAGCTTGACGGAATCCCTATCCTTGTTGTCAACATTCCTTGAAGCTCGATGAGCTGCCCAATGCACGGATGAACTTCAACACTTTACAAGGTTAAATAAATTATCCAAGGAACATAATTTGTCCACTTTACAAGGTCAACATTACTTTCTTCCTTTCCTATCTTTCCATCCTTTTGTTTCGGATTTTTGTGGTCCGAATCTCCTTTTGGTTCGTGTGTTTGTGGCTGTTTTGGTGCAAGATTTCAGGTCTTGGGGTTTGCTTCCGCGTTCATAGGTAATTTTTATATGACTAATGCTTGTTTGATTTTTATTATTAGGGACTCGTCTTTGCTAATTACTGGAAGTGCCGATCAGTTAGCGAAGTGGTGCCACCTCCTGGTTTCTTTTCTTTAGTCACTAGTTTATGCTCGTGCGCTGCACGGATTGACATATAAGTTCTTATTTGAATTATCAAGTAATAATATCTTGTAATTGTGAAATTTTGAATGTTGATGCGGTAAAAAAATAAAAGCAACATATAATATTTTGGAAACAGTATCAAAATGAATCAAAATCGGAAAAAATAATGAATATTTATATCTTTTGGAGTGTTTATGTATAGACAAAAATTTTTGTTTAATTGTTAAATACTCTTTCCTTATTGCATAAGAGTACTTTGAGACTCTGACTGGATTTTATCCTATAAGAGGCAACATATCGCTGTCTGTAGACAAAGACCGGGCGTGACAGAAATAAGCACACTTACGATAGTGATTGATCGTGACTCTTATTGATCGTCATAACAAAACATGTAACAATAAAAAAATTGTCTCCTCTTGAATCGAATCGACATCCTTATGTAGGAAGAGTGGATGTCCAGGCGTGTGAATATTCTTTTTTTTTTTTTTCAATATTTGATCCAGATATAATAATTGTCTGAATGACATGATCTTACAATTTTTCTCGATATCGACTACTTCATCGTTTGACTCTCCAGCATTCCCATCGCAGATTGTGAGTAAACATTCTTCAAATTCCTTTATGACGTCAGACAATTCTGTACCCTGTCACAATCTCATGTTCTGCATCAATCTCAAGGTGTTATTTATCAGTATTTCTTGAGCCAAGTCACAAAATTATTTTCTATATTTCTCAAACATCATATTAATTAGGTAAACATGAATTGAGATATCTTTTGTATAAATATCATCCACTTCTTTAAAATCATAAATTGCTTTCTTCACAATAAAATAAATAAATTCAACAGTGTCATCAAGGAAAACATTGTACATAAATTCAAGTTAAAAATTTGTTTGCCAAAAATGTCCTTTTTTGGAAGTAAATAATGAACATGCTGGAAAAATAAACGATGATTAATGATGACAATGAATTTTTTCGGAGATAGTAGACCTGCCTAAAAAGAAAACAAAGAATTGTGCTGACAATGGATTTCAGAAGTTAAGGGGTTCCTTTTTATAGCTGTAACCATAGGAGAGGGTTTAATTTTCATCATCAATAAGAAATATTCAGTTTCCTTAATTTTTGAAAAAAAGAAAGTGTGTGATATCTTTTGAATCATTTACTTAGAAAGGTGAAATTTGGATTTGATAGTTTGATTCGATAAGAAAACTTACTTAAAAAAACTAAAATGTTGATTAATTTATTTCAAATTTGTGATATTTTGTGTTTTTAATTGATGTCGTAAGACATTTTCAAAATTGAGCTACGATGTGATGTGATTATTAATTATGTAAGATTCCGTCAATAATTAAAAAAATCCTATATTTAAATTTTGAAGAGTTAAACTTATGCTCTTAAAAAAATATATTTTTATAATGGTAAATTATTATAGTGGCGAACCCTTAATTAACGGGATACTGTCAAGTTGAAGATAATGTGCAACGATTATTTAGTTCATAATTCAGTTATTCTCGGACACAATATGTACTAATGTTAAAATAAGTGATAGCTGGTAAAAGTTCAAATATATAGCTTTGGTTGTTTTACTTTTGATAAGGATTTGATGGGTGGAAAAAACACTCCAAATAAATAACAAAATGACAAGTAAGTAACTTTAGTAAATGGTCTAAAAATGGCCAATTTAAATATGAAAATAACTTTATGAAAATAACTATATGAGAATAACTTTATGAACATATTCAGCGAATTATCACTCTTGCGAATGATAGAAACTAAATAAACAAATTTGATCATTGTTTGGCCTACTCAAGTAGAGAATCAACCTATTTAAAAAAGCAAAGAATGAATTAAAAAGAGTGGTATGCAATATAACTTTAAAAAGTAATACAAACTATTAGATCTGAATAAAAGATCAATTCAATGACAATTGAAAAAGAAAAGTTTCAGTGATGACAAAAAAAAAAAAAAAAAAAAACCAGCTTGATTCCTATATCAAGAAAGGTGACGCAAAAGAATAGAACAATCATTAGGAACGAAATTAAATTGAAATGACAAAATTGGCTTAAATTAATTCATATCGGCGGCGCTAGTTAATATTGATTACTACCCTTTCACATAACCCTCATCAATTGACCAGAGTTCTCCCATGAGGTTATCAATATTGCCTATATCAAATTGCCGAAAAAAGTTTAATCCCTGCAAAAAAAAAAAAACAAAAATCTGATAATAACTATTAAGATTTCAACATACTGGTAATTGATAATAGTAAATAAAAAATGTATTGAAAAATATGAAAAATTTATTTTTATATAGCGAAAATAATAAGATTAATGGTGGTTTTGGTGGAGGAAAAATAAACCATTTCCTAGGACAGTCAAAAACAAATTCAGGAACACTAATTCCACAATCAATAACGCATTTAGCCCCGCACGCCTTATCCCATTCATGGCTACGATCTTCTTCTCCCTTTTGAGATTCGTTTGCTGCCCTCAAATCTGTCATGGCCACCATCAAGAAGATTAGCGCCACTCCTACACAAGCTTTGCTTTCTTTCTCATGTTCATCGTCATCATCTTCTTCTTTTTCTTTTTGACTTTAACAACGAACCTTGAAAAAATGAAAAAACTAAAATTCAAAAAGATCACGTGTATTCTTGAAGGCCCAAATATAAGCCCACTTGTGGTTCCACCTCAAAACTAATTGGCAATGATGGGAGTAGCACATGGGATACATATGTTGAGTTCAAGAGTCTTCATCCATCCATGTGGGACAAGGGAACATGAGGTAATTTCTTTCTTTTCATTCATGTAACACGCCCCTCTTAAGCCCAATGGACTTGGACGGGTAATTTTATATTTTTTTCTGATTTTTTTTTTCAGTCTTGCGATCGGTTATTTTCTCGGATAAACTGTCGCCTGCCGGGCCAATCAAAGTTCAAAGTCAAACCCCGGATTTCTTCCTTGGGTTGACCAAAATTTCAAGACCCAATCTGGATCAGTCCACCTCGCCCCACAAGTCCCACTGGGACGCGGATTAAAACCCGCTCTGATACCATCTTGAAGGCCCAAATATAAGCCCACATGTGGTTCCACCTCAAAACCAATTGGCAATGAAGGGAGTAGCACATGGGATATATATGTTGAGTTCAAGAGTTTTCATCCATCCATGTGGGATAAGGGAACATGAGGTAACTTCTTTCTTTTCATTCATTTAAAATGTATCACATAACTTTAAAGATTAAAAAGGATAGTTGTAAAACTTAAAAGAAACCAGTCCGGTCTTTATTTGTTAAAAAAGAGCTACATAAATTGAACAAAATACCAATCAATTTGGTATAAACATTAGCAACGCAATTTACAATTGATAAACTACTTTAATCAAGCACAAATTTTATTCAACTGAAATCACTATCCTGAATATCAAGCTTAATTTGTAGCAAAACTTGAATCATACCTGTAAAACATAATTTTTCTAAATCACAGTTATATGGTATGATATAACGGGAAAAAAAAAAGTTCCAAGACAAAGAAAGAAAAAAAAAATAAAGTGAACCCTATCATTGGAAAATAACATTGAATTATCTCAAGAGATTAAAGAAAGAGACCGTGAGGAGAGAGGCTTTCGAAAAAACAAAAAGAATTCGTTTTTGCAATTAGAGACTCATAAGTCGTACCATCAAACTGAACCCTAATATAAAATCCAATGGAGCATTCCTTTCAACAGCACCTGCAAACAAAGCTCGTGTTCAATGGGAATCAAATTACTATTGAAACAATAAATAAATTTACTCTCCCACTCGATTTGGGAGAGTGGGAGAAACTATTTTATTGATTGGTTTTTCCCCTACTAACCTGGTGATAAGTACTCCTGTAAGATTTTAATCTTGAATCAATATTTAAATGTAAATCTTATGTATTAGGAAACAATGCAAATTGTTATTCCATTATGATGAATAGCTGTTATCGACCCATCATACCAAAAGAAAAGAGAAACATGAATGGAGTGAAAGACCGCTAATAGTCATCCAAGAACACCATCTTGATTATCGTGATTGGATGACGTTCCCATCAGCACTATCTTGAGAAACAAAAGTAATGCGACGGCACTTCGGCAACCCCAATCGCCCCCGATCGATCTATCATCACTAAAATAAAATAAATGAAGAAGATGACTTATATACTTAAACATGTCGGTTCCTTTACGAGGAAAATGTTGATGAGTGCCAATTAAGATTTAGAATTCAGGAAATGTTTGATAAATAATGATTTGATTACAATCCTTGCTTTAACTGCTGCTATTTGGGACGAAGCATGTAAGTGAGAAATGATTAAAACGTACTATATATTTAAGGAATGTATAAATAATTGATTAAATTAATTAATTCATTCATTAATGATCATAGCTAAAACGTATAATCAATAATAAATTTTCACAAATAGAAAATGTGAAATGGGTGAAATTGATGGGTGGTGAATGAGTGAAAGTAACTTTTTTACCAAAAATTTTTCACAGTTTAATGAAGGATAGGCTCTTTTATCGACACGTGTCAGAAGATAAACGTGAGCTTGACAAGTGGCGGAGAAATCTCTGGACTATCTTATTGTGCGATATATGTCGATTGAAAACTCTCCTATTATATATATTAGTGTTTACCCCGCACGTTCTGCGGGTTGTTAAAAAATAAGATTAATGAAATAAATTGTAATTGTGTAATTTTTTATGTCAGTATATTTTGTTATTATTATAAGCACATTTAGAATAATTTTCTATAATCGAAATCATCCAATGTAACGTATTGTCCATCCTTTTCATTTTATTGATTTATTTTTTTATATCTTTTAAAAGTATTCTATTAATTTTACATAATGATCTCTTCAAATGTTTCTACCCGCGTCATAGTTTTTACACTCTTACTCTCACAGAAACTTTTTCATTATTACTTTTCATAAACTATATCTTTATTTTCCATCTCTCTATATAACTTTTGTGACCTTTCTTTAGAAGTTTATTCGTATATTTTTCCTATAATGTAATATTTACTTTTTCGTTTCTTAGTTGTATAGTCTTCGCCTGTTTTTCTTGGTCACAAAGACCTTTATTCTTTCCCTCATTTTGGAAAACTTTTTGCATCATAACGTTAACATTTATTATTAATCATACATTATATATTTTGTTTATCATAACATTAAATTTTTCTACCATTATATCATATAAAAAAAAATTATAATGAATGTGTTGTATTATTAATTTTTAGTAAACATTTATTATAATATTTTATAATATATATAAAATATAATATAATATATCCTTATATTATTAATAATATGGCCGATTAATACTTATGTTATTATTATTATTATATAATTTTACTTTGTTTCTTTAGTAATTCTTACATAAAATAATCAATAGTAATCATTTATTAGTATTGCTCGATCAGAGGCAAATGTTTGTTACCATTAAAAAATATTTATAATTGAAAAGTCACCAACTGAAATATTTTAAAAAAAATACACTAACCAATAAAAAAGAAAAAAAACTCGATTAACGATTATACTTTAACACACCACTATAGAAATCAATATTGACCCCGGAATTGGTTTTTCTCTCTCTAACAGAAATGATTTCATTATTTCTTTCCATAAATTTATTTTTCATCTATCTATACACATTTTACTTTAGAAGTTTGTTTGTATTTTTTTTTTCTATAATATAGTGTTCACGTTATTTTTTTTCCCACTAAATTAACCATTCAAGACAACAATGTAAACTTACACAACTTAATATTACGCGTGAAAACTCAAAACCAGGACACATGTGAAGGACAATCTATTATGATTAAATTTATTAAATTATGATCAAATTCAAAAGTGAAAACTCTATATATTATGACTAAGATGTGTTTAATCTTTCCTAGCACATGCGTTTCTGAGTATGGAGTGTTCAAACTTAAAAATATATCATGATCACATGTGAAGGCAATACTTTCATTAGTTTATGTCGGGTAGTTTTTTCCCAAAGTCATGTGATCAAACTAATAAAAATATATTTGGATCACAAACTTAAATATAATGGAATGGATTTGTGTTCATCTGGCTTATATCAATATCATTATAAATCGTTGGTGATCTATTCATAATAAGCTTTTGATTAGGGGTTTTTTTTTTAACAACAAATTAGTTTTTTTGATTTTTTTATTTCGGTTGGTTAACTTTGGATTTGTTAATTTGAAGTTTATTTTTAGACACCTATCTTTTTTACTATTAAAATTTACCATTAAGGAGTAATATTCTAGTTACTTTAGTTTTACATATAAATTTACAATTTTATATTAAAAAATTACCATTAAATGATGGAGTGATGTGGTTGCGATATGTGGACTCGACTATCTAATTTTTTGCCACGTGGATTGACCTATCTAATATTGCGCCATGTGTCTTATAGAAAACTCTCATTTAATATATATAAAGAGATAGATTTTTAATTTGGACAGATGTAATAAAAGGCTGATATTTTATTACAGTATTGTAGTTATAGGTTTCATTTCGGGGGAAAAACTTGAAAAAAAATACCTTCGATTTGTGAGAACATGTATATTAAAAAAATATAGTTTTTAATCCAGTAACTTATATTTAAAAAAATGGAATGCATTTTTTGTAGTAAACGCTCTAAACCTAAAGCATATAGGCAATAGGTTTGAAAGAAGCATTTTATTCTTCTTCTTCTTTATTCCTCTATGTTACATACACTCTAACCAAAAAAATAAATAAATAAATAAATTTTTCTACACGTCGAATATTTTTGGGACGTCGAAGTTGGATTTGTATGTGTTCAATTCTTAGCACTTTCACTTTTAATGGATGAATATGACTTATTCTATGTGCACTATTTTTTTGGACGGAGGAGGAAGGAACATAAATGTGTGTGTTAAAAAATGGAAAAAAAATCAGACATCAATTTTCTCATTCAACGGTACAAGTTGTAGATTGTCATCGTCGCCGGCGCCGCCAAGGACACCAACAGCGGCCGCCTTGTGAGTCTTTGTGTTATCCACCGAGACAACTAGACTCGAGTGATTGGAATCGGGAAGAAGGAAAATCAAAGCCAAAGTACCAAACCTCAAGAGGTTTCTAATGAGAAGCACAAGCCACAAATTCCGGAAGTCAGTTCTGGTGACATGAAAAAGGTGCAAAACAACACCGCCAGCTGATTTAGCCGTCAGCGAGCCAAGGCTGTCAATGCACATTAACAGCGCGAAAAAAGTGCCCTCAATTCCCAAGGGACACAATCTGCTGCTCAAAACCATCATCGGCATCCACCTGATTCTCGCGATGATTCTCGAAACGCATTCTTCGGTGATGACGAAGAAGTAATCTGGGATTCCGATGGCTAGATTCCACCGCCGGACGAATACGACATCTAGCATTCCGGCAGAAGCGTAGAGGAGTTGTGCAAAAAATAACAAACTTCTGAAGGGATAGTCTTTTAGGGTTTTGTGGTATATTAGAACCCCAACTATGGATGCCAATGCACCAATTGCATACACCATACCCACAAATTCCTGAAATTAAACAAGAAGAAGGAGAAAAAAAAAAAAAAGAGAAAGAAGGAAATTTAGAGGGGTACTATTTAGATTTTTCTAAACAAAAGAAAACCGCGATTGACTATAACAGTGAACTCTATAACATGAATGGCTTATAATTCAGTGTGTCGTTGTAATAGTATAGATACTTCTAATTAATACATTTATCATTTCAAAAATAAAACATAAAAAATAAAAAGTGAGGCCAATAATTTGCAATGGACACATTCAATTTTTTAAAAAATAAAATTACACTTGATAATATTATTAGGGACGCGAGGGTGATAACTTTTTGCTTTAGACAAATAAAATTTACAAACACTAATAGATGTTCTTTTGTGGAGATTATATTTGATTGTTTCAACATGGAAATTATCAATGTTAAACGTGAAAATGCAAAATACGATCTGATGAATGGATTGGGGGAGATGAATAGAAAATAGAGTGTACCTGAGAGAATGCAGGACCGGCTTTAGGATCAGTGAACCAATAGAATTGGCCTTCATGTGTACTAATGCTCATGGCTAGGGAAAAAAATATGTACAAAGCAGGTTTCCATACATCTGGGATTTTTATGGTCTTATACATTCCCTTCACTGCTGTTCCTAAGTTCTCCATTGCCTGCATTGCCAGGAGTCAATATTATTATCATTATCATTATTTTAGGTGTTGCCGGAACTATCAAGTGTTCTAGCTAAATGAAGGAAAATTTTGTAGGATAAACTATTTAAATTGGTAACGAAATTAACTTTTTTTTACGATAAATTATTTAATTTGGCTTTTTCAAGAAAAAAAACTAAATTGGTAATGAAATTAACTTTTTTTTTTTTTTTAAAAAAAGTTTCTAAATGAGTTGTCGTAGTCAATTTTATCATGTTCTCTGCCGCCCGTTTACGGGAGTAAATAAGATCGGTTTTTTTTTCGATATTTACACCTAGGCATATGCAACTAAGCTACTGATTACTCTTCTTTTTGAGTTTTAGCACAAACCCAGAAGAATGTTAGTAGGCACTTTATATGGTGAACCTTATTCACCATTCTTGATACACTTGTGTATTTAATATAATTTAAATATGGAATGGAAATTAATTAAAATATTATTAAATTACTCCATCCTCTCTCACCATTAATTTCATATATCATGTTTCCTAATACACCACAAAAGAATCAACAATCCAATAATTTTTTATGACTTTCCTTTTATTAACAATTACTAATGGGGAATTGACAAACAATTTAAGTTTACTAAAAAATTATGAAATTTTGATTCATATATCATGAAAAATTTTATTCTAATTCATTAATTTCCCATAAAATGAGTATGAATATATGAATTCCTAAATTCCAGATTAATTTTTTCATTTTTAGTATGAAAATTTGTGTGATTCTCAGGAATATCATTGTATATGAGTATCAATATGGTGTTTTATCTTTTTATACGCGACTAATCTTCCAATTGTCATGAAAATTGTGAAATTTTAATACACGTGATGTGAAAAGTATGATTGTCGTTCATGAATATTTTATATAAATAGTATGAAGATTTATAGTTTACGTGATTAATTTACTGACAGTTCCCCAATTTGTATGAACATTTCACAAAATATTCATGAATAGTGACTAATGTGTGTATAAATATAATATTAAACAGCACGTGACTTTTACTTGTGATTAATATTTATAATTTTTTAAAATCAAAATCTATGAACTTTATATATATTTGATATGAAAAATATGATTTTCATTTATGAATTTTACATTATATGATCATGATCTTTTAGTTTTATATAAAAGACTATAATTTTAATTCATTTTTATTTCTTTCTGTTTGAATTTTTCACGTAATTATGTTTGAGCTTAAAAATAGGACATGAAAGATTAAATGTAGAGAGAGAATTGTCTAATTTTTAAAATATTTTGATTATTATTATTCCTTAAATAGATTACATTAATTATATCAGTGCACTATATATGGTGAACATGGTGCACAGTATAAGAACTCATGTTAGTATTAGTTTTACCAGAATGTTGATCTTAGTTCACTTACATTTTGTTGATGAGCCATTATATGGACATTAAAAACTGTAAACTTATCTCATAAATAATTTATGATACTCCCAAGTCCCAACATCCTAAAGTGTAATAATTTTTTTTACCGAAAAAGATTGTCAAATTGAATAAAAGAGTTATTCCGTATTTAAAAATTAGAAAAAAAATGTTCTATCCTCTCTAAAAGGCAGTAGTGTTCTAAGAAAAAAGAAATTTTCATATTAACAAATTTAGAGTTCAAGTTACAAGGGAAAAAGAGTCAAGTTCAATTCGCGCGTTTTGTATAGAACACAAAGTAGCTAAAATTTCGGTGTCAAAGTAAGATAAGATTGCATTATTAATTAGAAAAATGTCAAAGGGAAGAAGCTTTTCCCATACTTTGAACATGCATTCAAGTATGATTTAGTTTAACGAAATGAACTATTAAAATGGTACAAAATAGTATACCTTCTTCAAGTAAAGGAGGAATAAAAAAAATAATCTTCCTTCATCAATGGCTCTGAATACTTCAACTATTTACATGAATTGTAAAGGTTGAAAAATACTGCAATTACAAACACTTCAAGTTCTTGCTTAGAACTTTGGTAATCGCAGTAGCCTTCAAAGGCAACTCCTAAAAATGTTTTCCCCCTTTCTTTTAATTTTTTAATGGTTCTTCTTGAAATAGTAAAAAGATAGTAGAAAACGTAACACGTTACACGTTGTTGCCCACGGACCCCTTGACTACGCGTAATGCATTATGTATTATGTAAGTATAATATTGGGCAAACTACATTTGACCTCCCAGAGTTTTGGCTCTTTAACCAAATACCCCTCGAGTTTTGGTGTTACTACATTTTCCCCCTTTGACTGGATGACACATTAAGTCAACGTTGAAAAATTATGAAATGACAAAAAAAGCCTCCGGTTAGACCAACCAATTAAATAAAAATATTTAAAAAAAATAATATAAAAAGATTATACTACCCCTGTCTTCCACCCAACCAAGTTGCTGTTATTTTTTTCCGACCACTATTTTTTACCGACACAAACTATCCTACTTTCTCTTTTCTAATACCATGTTGGTATTCATTGCCCTCTTCATTATTTCTCTGTTTTGAGATAAGAAAACCTAATTCCACCATCAACTAAATTAATTTCTAACCACAACACATCAGAATTGAATAAAAAAATCAAAGAAATTATACAACTTCATAAAGCAAAGGAAATTTAAAGCCGGCCCTTCTCAGCCCAAAGGCCTATGTCGATCTCCACCATCCAACTATGCTGGTGTTTTATTTTTCAATCCAAATTTATAAAGCGACGACTGACGGATGCAACAAGCAAATTTGGAAGCGGTGGCTATGTATATATTTCATGTGCGGAGGAGATTATGGTTGGATGGTGGAGAGAGGGATGTGAATTTGTAGGCGGCGCATGAGGTGGAGGAGGGGAGGATGAAAGGGGGGCATATTATTTGGATGGTAATGATGAGAAGCATTTGGATGGTGATGACGGGAACGCCGTGAGGGATGGGAACTGCATTTGGCCTTTGGATTTTATTTATTTTTTTAATTTTTTTTGGCTTTTTAAAATATGAGGCTTATTTTTCTAATTTTTTTTTTTTAAAAAAAAGAGCTTATAACTAGGTATTTTTGTCAGTTCATGCTAAAAGTTTCGATGAGAAAGTGTTCAAATGGTTAGAAAGATCAAAGCTCAGGGGGATATTTGTAGTATGATAAAAACTCGAGGGGAATTTTGTCAAAGAGCTAAAATTCGGGGGATAAAATGTAATTCACCCTAAAATATTTCTTAAAAGATCATTTAGAATAAGATTTTCTTCATTCAACGAGTTTTACGTTTTTTTTTTTTATCTTTTCGGTGCAACGAGTTTTACATTTTGTCCAGACGTTATTTGGTTTCCGCTAGATAGTAATCAAATTTCTAATCTCGTGATTTAAATTGTAAAAACTATTAACTTTAAACTTTTTTTGGAACAATAAAGAAGATCGTAACCCAACAATCAAAACTATCATTTAGTGGGGACAAAAGATCGACATAATCGTACTCTGCCCTTGTGATTGAGATACTCCCTCCTTTCCATAATTATTGTCTAATTTAGATTTTTATTTTTAGTTTAAATTGTACTAAAAGTGAAATCTCAAACTGGACAATAATTTTGAGACAGAGGGAATAACAAATAAGAAGAAAAATTCTGCGATATTAACTTTAAACTTAATCATATCAAATGCGTGAAGTTTCTACTCGTGGCAAAAATTATATGAAGATTTGCTAACTAATTATTAAATTAATTATAAAAAAAAAAGTAAATCGATAGCTGGAGATTGAAAGAAACAGCTAACATTTTTCTATGTATGAATGTCGGGCCAGATCACTATCTGTCAATATTTTAAGCACCTCTCTTATCTATAGTTCCGAGTTAGACAAATATAATTTTAATTCTGCCATTGAATAATATTAATTTATTGTTCATCATTTGTTTTTGAATTTCTGGGACAACTGTAGCTATTTGTTCCAGTGTCCTTTTCTTTAAGTGTGACTCAACCCTCCCCCAGTAGTTGCCACTTTGCTATAACTAATTTCTATTCTGTTTCATAGACTTCTCCTATAAAACACCTAGTTTCGTTGAAGATGATATTCAAAATATTAATTTTCATTTTTTACTGTTACATTGGAAACAGTTATAGTGATCTACTGTTACACAACTCATAGTCATAGTGATTTTCTAGAGTTATATATCAATATGACATGAAATGATTCATTTTCGATATGACAATATCAAGCGTGACCGATAGAAATTATTGACAGATAATTAACAAGCCAATGAACATAAAAAATCACTCATGTCTTTATCAATAATTTTGTTAAAAATTCGTCAATTAAAATAAATTAACTTCAGTGTATTACATCTAAATCATCATCAGTCATCACTTTCTTGCATTTAGTTAGACGACTCAAATTACTTTTATGAGTTTCAACTGTTATTCTCTCCATCTTTTTACGCTCACTTTAATTCGTACGATAAAAACTCAAACAAACTTCTTTAGAGTGTAATCTATCTCTAAGCAATGTAACTCACATGTAAAAACAAACAAAGGGAAAAAGTTAAAAAGAGCAGTTCAACATTAATTTAAAATGACGTAAATGATAATTAAATTGTGTTTACCTTCTTCTTCTCGGAGTGGTGGTGATCATTAACTGTTCTTGACTCCTTCATCATAAATCCCAGTGCCACCATTGCAGCTGCTGGTATCCCCAAAAGTCCAAGTGACCCCTAAAAACCGAAAAAAAAAACAATTCTAATAAATGAAAAAGAAAAACAGAAATAATGATAGTATATATCAAAAAAAAAAAAAATTTCCAAGAAAATTAACTTGCCTGAGCACCAAGATGATGAACAAAAAAGCCACTAAAGAGATACCCCAAAAGTGCACCAACAGAATTACAAAACATACAAAGGCTTTGCATATCAGGAGCCAAAGACTTGATTTCAATGCTTTTCCTAGCAATACAAGCATCAATAGTAACATCTGCAATGGCTATTCCAGTCATTATTCCAATCAGAAGCAACAAAGCCAAAACAATGGCTAAATTACCACTCAAAGCCAAAACCATAGCTGAAACAGTCCCCAAGATCCCAGCAAATACAAAATATGGCCTCCTTTTGTAACCCCTAACCGGAAAAACATCGGTCATGAGCCCCCAAATCGGCTTCAGGATCCATGGGATGTAGTATAACCCTATGAAGAGTTGAACTGCTGAAGGTTGCACTTTCTGAACATCTTTCCAATAGTAATCTGAGACTACTTTGAAGAAATGTTGCGCAAATCCTTGGCTAAGGCCGTAGACTAAGATGACGCCGAGAACAAAGGTTGAATCCAGCCTTGAAGACAACATGTGAAGCCATTCAAATGGTTCTAGCAAGACTGATTTAAATGAAGAAGGAAAGAAAAACATCATTTTGTTGTTGGTGCCATTTTTATCCTCTTGATGATGATGATGACCATCTTCTTCTTCTTTTTCTTCTTTTTTAGTAACATTTTCTTGATGATGGTGATGATATTGTTGTGATGAGGCTCTAAAGGGTAGTTGGGATTCATCATCTACAACATCTTCTTCCTTGTTGAAGTTTGGCTTTGGATTGAGTTCTTGAGTTTCTTCTGATGGACACATTTTTCATGGAGATTTGGAAATTTTGGAATTTCAAGGAGAGATCTTATGGATCTCAAACTTTTATGGAAGAAAGGCAAATGTTGACTTCTTGATTATATAAATATCTCAAAGAAGATTTTGATATATATTAATTTACTACTTAGTTAAATTCAACTTGTGATGCACGCATGTGAGGAAGGCACACTGCCCTGAGAATTAAAAGCCAAATACAGCACTTTATTTTTATTTGTTATTTTTGCGTACGTCTTCAAGTAAATATAATGTTCATATGCGTTAATAACAAAGTAAAAAAAGTTGCACCCAAATAAAAAGTAATAAAAGAACGTTACTCTATTACAATTTGTGTACTGCAAATGTATTAAAAGTAATTTATAGGCAACAAAATCTGTTCATTTCTTCTTTCGGAAACTTAGAAATGTTTACCAAAAGAAAATATTAAAAATCGTTGAAAGAAATTAAGATCGACATTGGCTAGCTAGCCCATGTGAAATATATATAATTTTGTAAAGAGAAATTCAAAAACTACACTTCCCATGTGGCGAACTTTGCGACAGTTTTTTTTTTTTTTTTTTTTTTTTGCCTTTTTATCAATAGTTGGTTCAAGAGAATATCAACAACATTATAGTAGAACGTCGATAAATAAATAATTGATAAATTAATAACATCGATAAATTAATCATTTACTTCGGTCCCTAGTCGGGACCGGTACAAAAAATAAAAGTAATCGATAAAATAATAAGATAATAATTTTTTAAAAAACTTTCTATGTAAATATAGGTCCCGTCAATATCATAAATTAATAATGATTTTAAAAAAAATGCTATGAGCTTGAGAATCAAAGTATTGTACATGTTATGAATTTTTTGTATGATGTATCCAGCCATTGATGGGAGTTTAAAGATTCTCAGAAAAAAAATTTCTTTTCACTTAGGCATGTTACGTAGATTAGGTAGGTTATAAAATTTAAGATGATGGTGGAGTCTAAATTCTAATACCTGTGGGATATAAAGGAATAAGGAATATAAATCTTATATACCTAAGCTTAAAAGATTAATAGAATTCTTTGAGATTTTCTTTAAATTAATATTATTAATTAATCAATAAATTATTAATTATTAATTTATCGATAAATTAATACATCGATAAATTAATAATTTTTTGGGGTCCTAATAGTATTAATTTATAGATGTTTAACTGTATTTCACTATGTAGTGTACATTTGTGTTGGAACACAACTTAATCGATATTCTAAACTTTTTTTTTTTTGGATAAAATGTGAATTTCATTGATCAAAAGATGAATTTACATGTGTTTGACCTATAACTGTACACCAATTCTTTCCAAGAACCGAACATCATCACCACTACCATTTCTAAACATATGCACAATCCTCCATTTAACCTCATTCTGAATCTGATTACCTCTACTCCTTGCTGTTTCACTACTTGCCTTGAAATGCCTTGCATTCCTCTTTGTCCAGAGATGATGAATTGCTGCATTCAAACTTGCATACATGATCTTCCTCTTTATTGTATTAGTCTTCCAAATGTTAAGTAGTCTACCACAGTAGTCCAGTTATACTTCTTCTCACCCCCAGCCAATCTGTAACCATCCTGATCAACTCTTGACTATAGCTGCATTGGAAGAATAGATGCTGAATTGTTTCATCTTGATCATTGCATAGCAAGCACTTCTAATCATTCACTTCAATTCCCATCTTCACCAGTCGTTCCTTTGTTAGCAATCTCCCTCTCCATGCCAACCAACTGATGAAACTATACTTTGGAATAGAAAATATACTCCATGTTATCAGTGCTGGCTCGAACTTCTCCCTTTTTCCTCTAAGCCACCTGTATCCACTCTTTATGGTGTAAGGTTTATTCTTGTCAGCAGTCCATCTCCCATTCTGTACAGCATTCTTCAGCTCATCTCTAACTCTTATCAGTTTTCTCCAATGCCAGCTACAGTCTGCTGGTGGAGAATACATCCATATACTCTTCCCTTTAAGATAATAGCTGTTCATCCATTTAATCCATAGACTTTTCTTGTTCCTCTCCAAGTCCCATAGTTGTTTGCTAAGTAAAGCCTTATTTCATGCTGCAGGCTCTCTAATATTCAAACCACCTTTCTCTTTTTCCCTACAAATGTCATCCCATGCCACCAACGGAAGACACCTTCCATTCGCATTACAGCCCCACAGAAATTTCCTACAAGTAGTAAGCTGCTGGATCACTGCCAGTGGAATTAAAAATGCTGGCCCAATATGTGTGAAGGGTCATCAAGACAGAATTCACTAGCACTGTTCTTCCAGCATAAGATAAATGCCAAGTTACCAACACTTGATTCTAGCAGTCATCTTCTCCACTAGACATTGACAGTCTACTTTAGTCCACGATGTTAGAGCAACAGGTAATCCTAGATATTTTATAGGAAATGAACCAACCTCAAACTGCATAATATCTCTGATTTCCTGCTGCACCCTTTCTGATGAGCTATCAAAATACATATTAGATTTGCTGAAGTTGACACTCAATCCAGTAGAATTTGCAAAACATTCCAGTGTCTTCTTAATTCTTTGGATAGTGCCTACTTTAGCTCCACTGAAAATCAGGAGGTTATCTGCAAAACTTAGAGAAATGATATTTCGTTCTTCACATTGTGGATGCTTTACAAATCCCTCTTTGGCAGCTTCAACTCTAAACACTCTTGCAAATACTCCATCACCAATACAAATATCAATGGTGACATTGGATCACCTTTTCTCAGCCCCCTTTCTCCTTGAAAATATGCCACACTACTGCTATTCATACTTAATGAGTAGCTACAGGTGGTAATACATGCCATAACCCATTGAATACACCTTTCTAGAAACTTATACTCCTTTAACATCTCTTCTACAAATTCCCAATGGACTGAATCATATGCTTTCTTTAGGTCAACCTTCATCATGCAGGAAGGCTTAGAATTTTTCCTCTTATACAGTCTTATCAATTCCTGAGCTAACAATATATTATGAAGGATCAATATGTCTTTAACAAAGGCTCCTTGGTTCAAATCAACAAGATCGGGCAGAATGTTACTCAACCTCTTACACAGCATCTTGGATATGCATTTATAAATTATATCGCAACATGATATTGGCCTGAACTCAGTTGCATTTTTAGGACTTTCATTCTTAGGAATCAAGGCAATGAGTGTAGCATTAATTTGCTTCAGTAACTTCCCTGTTCTAAAAAACTCTTAACACTGCATTGCTAAAATCCTTACCAATTATACTCCAAGCTTTCTTGTAAAATGTACTATTATATCCATCAGGTCCTGGACCTTTATTCTCATGAATACTAAAAACTGCCTCTTTTACATTTGCTTCAGTAAACTCCTTCATCAGTAGCAACTGCTGAGCCACATTCAACTTGCTCCCTGATTGAAATGCTTCACTTACAACAGGTGTTCTTCTCTGTTCTTCCCCAGCAGTTCTTGATAGTAACTGAGAAAATGCTCTTCTATCTCCTTTTGATCCTCCACTAAATCCCCAACCCCATTTACTATAGCTTTTAGTCTGTTCCTATTGACTTTCTGTTTAATTGCAGCATGGAAATATCTAGTATTCATGTCCCCTTCACTTATCCACTTCTCTTTCAACTTTTGTGCCCAAAAACTCATTACAGCTTTACAGGTAGTTAGATATTCTTGGCAACCTTCTTTTTCTTCAACTTGTAGAGCTTCATTCATGGGATCTTGCTTTAAAGCCTCATGTTTCTCTTTCATCTTTGCCTTACGGATTGCTTCCTTTTCTTCAATTCTTGCAAGATACTTCCTATGGAACTCTCTAAGTACTGGTTTTAGCTGTTTCTGCTTTTTGACCAGGATAAACTGCTTGCTACCTTCCACCTGATTTCTCCATCCTTGATTAACAGTTTCTTTAAACTCAGGGTGGCTTGTCCACATATTAAAAAACCTAAAAGAGCGTTTCACTTGCTGATTTGCATCTCCCCACCTTACCAATATTGGATTGTGGTCAGACATACCATCTGGAAGTATTGTCCCATATGCTTTACTGAGATCCTGCAACCATTCTGCATTTACCAAGACTCTATCAAGCTTTCAAAAAATTCTCAGCTTTCCCTCCTGTTTATTAGTCTAGGTGAATGTTCCTCCATAAGTCTGCATTTCCCACAATTCATTGTCCTCAATAACTTGTTTAAACTTCATTGCATCAGTACTGACATTTGGAACTTCTCCCAATTTCTCTTTCTGTTTGATTATGCAATTGAAATCCCCCATTATGAGCCATTTACCTGGCACTTTTTTAGTAACCTTAACTCATCCCATAATCCTTGTCTTCTTGATGCACTATATTCTGCATACACTACTATTAGAAAGAACTGCTTACTAGTTCCATGTTCTCTCACATAGCTCTGCATATATTGTTGAGTTTGTTTCTCCACTCTGACCTCATATTCTCCTTTCCTCCATAGTAATAGTATTCTTCCTTTACTGTCCCCTTTCTGATTTCCCTTATACTCAAACTGCTGCCATTTCTTTTGCATCAATTCATCCAGTCTTTCCTGCTTAAGTTTTGTTTCTACTAGGCCTACTACTACATTATTATTCACAGTGAGGTAATTTGCAACCTCTCTGTGCTTCATATTAAGTCCCCTTAGATTCCAAGTCATTATGTTATTCATGGTTCCTAGGCCCTGGATCAGGGTGACTAGAATTTGAGTAACATATGGTATTAACTGATCTATTTTTCTCACATTTCCTTCCTTCATTCACTTTTTCTCCTTTCTGATTCATGATTTGACTTCCTTCTTCAACTGGCTGTTGTCGATTTCTCTTCCATATACTGATTTTTCTGCTTCCTGTCTCCTTAGTTTTCAATCTACTAGGAGATGATCTGCTATTAGAGTGACCAATTTTAGTTGGTGAGTGCACATTCTGATCTTCTTCCTCCATAACTACTTTCTCCTTGCCTTTATTTATGGTTGGTGACTAATCAAGTACTTTCTCTAGTTGCTCTATCTCCTTCTGTTTCCATCCTTTCACCACAGGGAT